TCTTAGATGAAACTACTCCATTGAATTGTTATATGAATAGTTATTATTAGTCTTCGATGAAACCACTCCAATGAATGGTCATATGGATAGGTTTATATTAGTCTTAGATGAAACCACTCCAATTAATGGTAATAGAATGTGAACGTGTGCATCAGGACAAGCGCAGCTTACTCAAATGTAGATGTGTAGTAGTTACCAACCCTATACTCTCTTCCGCGTGTCACCATGGAGAGACGTACCTCATGTACACGCCATGTTACGGTACGGAGAGTATATGTAAAGTACGTAAACAAACGTTTATATGATGTGGTCCTAGATTGCATACCTGCTGCTTACCCGACAACGGAAACACAGTTATAGCGGGATAATATACGTAAAGTATGTAAACAAACGTTCATATAATTTGGCCGTAGAGTGCATACCTGCTGTTTACCCGACAACAGAAACACAGTTATAGTGGGGTCGATGTTGAACTGGCGGATGGCAATGTTCTTCTGAGGTCCATTGAGATCCACGTACTTGACGTTGGCTGCCTGTTATGTCATTCCGCCGAGAGTGTATGTTGGTGCCATGTGGGGTTAGATGAGGAAGGTGTGAGTATGATATGAGACGTTGGCTACCTGTTATGACATTCCGCCGAGAGTGTATGTTGGTGCCATGTGGGGTTAGATGAGGAAAGTGTGAGTATGATATGAGACGTTGGCTACCTGTGTCATTCCGTCGAGAGTGTATGTTGGTGTCATGTGGGGTTAGATGAGGAAGGTGTGCGTATGATATGAGACGTTGGCTACCTGTTATGTTATTCCGCCGAGAGTGTATGTTGGTGCCATGTGGGGTTAGATGAGGAAGGTGTAAGAATGATATGAGACGTTGGCTGGCTGTTATGTTATTCCGCCGAGAGTGTATGTTGGTGCCATGTGGGGTTAGATGAGGAAGGTGTAAGAATGATATGAGATGTTGGCTGCCTGTTATGTTATTCTGCCGAGAGTGTATGTTGGTGCCATGTGGGGTTAGATATGGAAAGTGTGAGTTTGACATGAGACGTTGCCTGCCTGTTATGCTATTCTGTTGAGAGTATATGTTGGTGCCATGTGGTGTTATGATTTAAGACATAGGGTGTGTGTGCCACCCACCTGTAGTAGTGTGTGTTTGTGCATAAACGTCACCATACGATGAACCACGGCATAGCCGTACATCTACACACAGTCAGCGCTCAACGGATGAGTGCGAGCCTGGCCTAAAGCTGAACACGAGGAGTTTAGACAGTCCAGACGAGGATACTGACGAAAGGCATGACTATCGCAGAACTCCTTACATATATGACTTCAGGATTTGAGATTGTATGATTTCAGGATTTGGAATTGTATGATCTCAGGATTTGAGACTGTATGATTTCAGGATTTGGGATTGTATGATTACAGGATTTGGGATTATATTAATTTCAGGATTTGGGATCTAGCACAGACTACCCGATATATCAACTTTTACCTTATTAACCCTATTTGAGACTGTACAATTGTGATACCAAAGCACTATATATCCTCACCGAGCTCTCGTGCGGGTCATACCTGCCACTGACCCACCCCTATCGATAAGTATAGTGTACATATGGCGGTGAGAGGCCGTATCTCTGACCTGTCTCAGTGCAAGTAGCAATATAAATCACCGCCACTATACCCTACTAAGACTATGGGGTTGTGCTAAAAACACATTCACTACCACACCCGCTTTTGAGGTTGTGACAATAACACATTCGCTACTACACCCGCTATTGAGGTTGTGACAAAAACACATCTATTACAACACCCGCTATTGAGGTTGTGGGGTATGATATAAACGCGCACGTATACATCCATGCGATTGAAACATCCACAGTGTGGATATAAAAAAGCTCAAATCAATTCAAGGGCAGAGACCTTATCTCTCTCAAACACCCTCCACAAGTAAAACCACAAAACAGGGCAAATCAATTCAGGGGCAAAGACCTTATCTCTCTCAAACACCCTTCACAAGTAAAACCACAAAGCAGGGCAAATCAACTCGAAGTCGAGTACAAAGTGCTTATCTCTCTCTAAGTGGTACCCCATAAATACATTCCACTGAACTCGCCCCTATTGGGCCAACCAAGAGACAACCAAAGAACCATCCGAATCCATCCACACACACCCACAAACCCCCACCCACCCACACACACACATACACACCCACACATACATATATTTATATACACCCACATACACCCCTCTACACCCGCATACACCCCCCTCCACCCACACACACACACACACACACACACACACACACATACACTACCACCCCCTCCCCACCCACCACACACACACACACACCCACACCTTTAGTGCTCGCCCGATGATCCTATGCGACTCCTGCCACTGACTGAACACAATGGACTTAGTGCCAGGGCTGCTGTGTTTAAGGTATAAAAGATAGCGTACGATGGTGTCTATCTTTGTGTTGAACTCTCGTCTCGTAGGCTTATCCGCACCCGAACTCTCGCCCGCGGTGTCTGGTACACTCGGTCTCGTGAGGAACGCGGGGAGTGCGGGGAATTCTTCGACCGATGATTGGCCGGTTTTAAAGTTGCGGGATTCTGATTGGTTGGTGGCGGAGGTGTCTTCGCCTACGGAGGTGTCTTCGCCTACGGAGGTGGCTTTATCCATGGCGGGTTCTGATTGGCTATGGGGCTTTGTGATAGCCACCCGTTTGATGTCCTTTGGGACTACTTGCGTCTTGCAGAGAGGGCAAGACTTGTATCGCGAGACCCTGAATGGCAGAAACCAATCACAACACGAGTTCTTAACATAGCCGACGGATTAGCATACACACATGTAGAAAGCTACAACGACTGATCCTACTGCTGGGGTAGTACTATTGGGAGTTTATATGAACACGCAAAGCTACAGCTAGTACTGCGACTACTACGAGTATACTATTAGGATCATGTATAAACACACAAACCTAGAACTAAAAATCCTACTACGTTATTACTATCACGTAAATATATATATATATATATATAAATATATATATATATATATTGCAGGTACAGGTACAGGTACAGGTACAGGTACAGGTACAGGTACAGGTACAGGTACAGGTACAGGTACAGGTACAGGTACAGGTACAGGTGCAGGTACAGGTACAGGTACAGATACAGGTACAGGTACAGGTGCAGGTACAGGTGCAGGTGCAGGTGCAGGTGCAAGTGCAGGTGCAGGTGCAGGTACAGGTGCAGGTGCAGGTGCAGGTACAGGTATAGGTACAGGTACAGTACAGGACAGGTGTAGGTGCAGGTGCAGGAATGAAATCAAGCTACGCACACATCGAACCAAGACGCATGTGGCGTACCCAGGCAATGACACAGGCACAAAGTATACGGCAACTCAAGACAATACCATATAATACAATACACACAATATAAAAACAATACAATACAATACAGTACAATACACACAGCCCGAATACAATACACACAGTATACGGCAACTTAATGCGATACAATACAATACAATACACTTCAATACACACAATATACGGCAGCTCAAGACAATGCATTACAATCCAATCCAATCCAATACAATACACTACACACAAACCGAATACAATACAATACAATATACGGTAACTCAAGACAATACACTACACACAATACACCACACACAACCCGTGACATGTGAGTCAATGCCACCCACCAGTTCATCACGCACAGTCGGTGGTACATGTGACCACAGGGCAGCACCACCAGACTGCCCTCTAACGGCGCCAGGCAGATCTGACACTGTCGGTGTGTGGTGGTGACCGTTGCAAGGTTCGGGTGGGTGTTGGTGTCGGTGGGGGGTGGATTGGTAGATAAACCACCCGTGCCCGTTGTCATGGCAACCGCGGGGTCGGCGGGTTGATGGGGTGAGGTTGAAGGACTGCAGAAGGAGTGATAGAGCACATTTTTTGAATGACTTGATGTTAATGTATGATAAGGCGAAACTTAGTGATCAAATGCCACTACTGAAAATTTAAGGCGCGAGGATCCAGAGGTAAATATGCATATACACACAAACACACATAAACATGTATA